CAAACTTCCAGTGTCCTTAAACTTTACAAACTGTACAATGCAGACATATCAGAATTCATGGGTGGACGTTAGCGTTACAAACTTCTAGTGTCCTTAAACTTTGCAAACTGTACAATGCAGACATATCAGAAATCATGGGTGGACGTTGGCGATACAAACTTCTAGTGTCTTTGTACTTCACAAAGTTCTGTACAATGCAGACATATCAGAATTCATGGGTGGACGTTGGCGTTACAAACGTCTAGTGTCCATAAAGTTTACAATCTGTGTACAATGCAGACATATCAGAACTTATGGTGTTACAAACTTCTAGTGTCCTTAAACTTGACAAACCGTACAATGCGGACTATCAGAATTCATGGCTGGACGTTGGTGTTCAAACTTCAAGTGTCCTTAACCTTACAAACTGTACAATGCAGACATATCAGAAATCATGGGTGGACGTTGGCGTTACAAACTTACAGTCTCTTCAAACTCACAAACTGTACAATGCAGACATATCAGAATTCATGGGTGGACGTTGGCGTTACAAACTTCTAGTGTCTCATACGATCTGTACAATGCAGACATATCAGAAATCATCGGTGGACGTTGGCGTTACAAACTTCAAGTGTCCTTAAACTTTACAACTGCACAATGCAGACATATCAGAGTTCATGGGTGGACGTTGGAGTTAATTACAAACTTCCAGTGTCCGTTTACTTCACAAACTGCACAATGCAGACATATCAGAATTCATGGGTGGAAGTGTGCATTACACACTCCTAGTGTCCTCAAACTTTACAAACTGTACAATGCAGACATATCAGATTTCATGGGTGGACGTTGGCGTTACAAACGTCTAGTGTCCGTACACTTTACAAACTGTACAATGCAGACATATCAGACATCATGGGTGGACCTTGGCGTTACAAACTTCTAGTGTCCTTGTACTTCACAAAGTTCTGTACAATGCAGACATATCAGAATTCATGGGTGGACGTTGACGTTACAAACTTCTAGTGTCCTTAAACATTACAAACTGTACAATGCAGACATATCAGATTTCATGGGTGGACGTCGGCGCTACAAACTTCTAGTGTCCTTAAACTTTACTAACTGTACAATGCAGACGTATCAGAAATCATGGGTGGACGTTGGCGTTACAAACTTCTAGTGTCCTTAAACTTTACAGACTGTACAATGCAGACATATCAGAGTTCACGGGTGGACGTTGGCGTTAGAAACTTACAGTGTCTTTAAACTTTACAAACTGTACAATGCAGACATATCAGAATTCATGGGTGGACGTTGGCGTTACAAACGTGTAGTGTCTTTAAACTTTACAGATTGTACAATGCAGACATATCAGAATTCATGGGTGGACGTTTGCGTTACAAACTTCTAGTGTCCTGAAATTTTACAAGCTGTATACAATGCAGACATATCAGAATTCTTGGGTGGACGTTGGCGTTAGAAACTTCCAGTGTCGCTAGTGTCCTTAAACTTTACAAACTGTACAATGCAGACATATCAGAATTCATGGGTGGACGTTGGCGTTACAAACTTCTAGTGCCCTTAAACTTTTCAAACTGTACAATGCAGACATATCAGAATTCATGGGTGGACGTTGGCGTTACAAACTTCTAGTGTCCTTGTACTTCACAAAGTTGCAGACATATCAGAATTCATGGGTGGACGTTGACGTTACAAACTTCTAGTGTCCTTAAACATTACAAACTGTACAAGGCAGACATATCAGAAATCATGGGTGGACATTGGCGTTACAAACTCTAGTGTCCTTAAACTTTACAAACTGTACAATGCAGACATATCAGAAATCATGGGTGGACGTTGGCGTTACAAACGTCTAGTGTCCTTAAACTTTACAGGCTGTACAATGCAGACATATCAGAATTCATGGGTGGACGTTGACGTTACAAACTTCTGGTGTCCTTAAACTTTACAGGCTGTACAATGCAGACATATCAGAAATCATGGGTGGACGTTGGCGTTACAAACTTCTAGTGTCCTTAAACTTTACTGACTGTACAATGCAGACATATCAGAGTTCACGGGTGGACGTTGGCGTTAGAAACTTACAGTGTCTTTAAACTTTACAAACTGTACCATGCAGACATATCAGAATTCATGGGTGGACGTTGGCGTTACAAACGGGTAGTGTCCTGAAACTTTACAGATTGCACAATGATATCAGACATCATGGGTGGACGTTGGCGTTACAAACTTCTAGTGTCCTTGTACTTCACAACTGTACAATGCAGACATATCAGAATTCATGGGTGGACGTGGCGAACCCTGAGTGATCTCACGCAAATCCCTAGCAATTTGGTACACATAACTTGAAAATTACAGGGGTCTGGACTCTAAGTGATATGTTCTGAGAGGTTTAGGGTTTAGGACGGTGTCTGTGAGTAGGCTGGGATTCCACGTCTTACACACTACGAAAGCACGCCTAATATGCGTCTGTCGTCAGGCATAACAACTTGCCCCCTACTTCTTTATATGTTCTCCTACCCTCTTGAATTAGCCCTGCTGTTGTCCCCTCCCTAGACCTGATGACGTACGCTGGGCACCATGTAATCTATCAACACACGTATCTGGCAGAGATGGGGTTGTATACCAAATCTCTAGCCAACATCCGGAAACCCATGTGGGATGGGTCAATTGCACCTGTTCCTCACAAATATGGCGTGGACGTCTGTTGCTAACATCAGCCTCGTCCCTCAAACCTCAATATTACCTCATAGTTCCAATGCCCATGCCCCTCTCCTCTGTAGCTGTTCTTTTCCTACGTAACGCCAAAATCTCTGGCTTGAGCATCTTGACCGTCGGGCTTCATCTTTTTGTCAGATTTGTCAGCACTCTGTTGCGGACCGAGTGCTGCAGCTTGTGCAGTTTTTGAGGCCGAACCACGCATAAAGACTTCACCGGAAAGAAATGATTTGAAACCCGGTGCTTCTACCATTTTCTACCTGTGCAGGCTTGTATACGTGTGCGCATTTTTTGGCCAGCATGCAGCTTTCATTTTCGAAAACGACGAAGGACGAAGGAGTGGGATCCGAATCACTGAAGAGGCGTGCCACTGCAGATTCTGTCAAGTTCCTCTCATCGCTTTGGTTAGGTGCAGGATGACGCTGCACAGTCTTTTCGTTCATTTGGGAGCCAATTTAATTTCTGGAGTCCATGACGATTCAACTTCGCGAAGCACCAGTTTTTGTGCCTTGCGGATGGACAGCTCTTCACCTCGTGTGCAACATGTGGTACCTGCCAGCTTTTTTGAAGCTTCTCTTTTGGTCCGTCATCCCGAAAGTTCAACATGTACGATCTTGGATGCTTCCGCCCAACATGTAGAAGCTGCGATTCGGTTGCTGGTGTGGCATGCTGTCCTGTCGTATAGCTGCCAATAATCCACGAGTTGCTATATTTTGTCAAAGCTTTTGCTCAAACTCCTTCACCGGCTGAAAGCCAAGCTGTACCGAGCTGATGGCAAGATCCTCCGCGGAAGACGTCCCAGATGATGTCGACGATGAGGTGATGCAGGAAACCGGCAAAGAGGTGCTGAAGCCCCAGGGGAACATCCCAGCCGCCTCGCTTTGTAAGCTCTTTTCGATGATGGATGCCGTCGAGGTAGTCGTATTGTTGATTGGATGCATCGGAGCCATTGGTAATGGGCTATCGCAGCCCCTGATGTGCATTGTTCTCGGTGACCTCATCGACGGCATGGGCGAAGGCACCGGGGGTGCTGAGACCTTCAGCCCTGAGCAGATGCAGCCTGCGATGGATGCAATGATGGCGAAGATGGAGGAGCTTTGCATCACCATGATGCTGGTAGGTGCGGGTGCGACGTTGGCGGCAACTTTGCAAGGATGCTTTTTCAAAATCTTTGCGGAGAAGCAAGCCTTCAAGTTCAGGGTGCTCTACTTTGACTCGGTGCTCCACCAGGATGTCAGTTGGTACGACACCAAGGAAGTTGCAGCATTGCCAGCGGAGATCAATGACGATCTTGAGAAGATTCAAGATGCTTTTGGAGACAAGTTCGGAAACGGAGTCATGTCCACTGCCGCATTCATTGGTGGCTTTGGCTGTGCCTTTGGCATGGGTTGGCTCATTGCACTGGTGATGTGCTCCACATTGCCATTTATGGGTATCGGTGCCGCTATCATGGGACAGGCTGTTCAGGAAATTCAGAATGAGACACAAAGCTGCTATGCCAAGGCCTCCGCTGTTGTTGAGGAGTGCCTTCACGCCGTGCGCACGGTCGTCGCCTTCGGCGGGGAACATCGCGAGCTGAAGAAATTCTCGGTTGCAGTGGTCGAGGCCCGCAGGGGTGGGGTGAAAAATGGCTTCAAGATTGGCGCAGGCCTGGGCTACACCATGATGATCATGTACCTGGGATATGGCCTGGCCTTCTGGTTCGGCATGACTTTAAGGTATAACGATGAGGTGAACCCGGCCACGGGGAGGCTCTGGGAGCCCGGTTTGATTTTGGCCATCTTCTTCTGCATCTTCGTTGGCAGCTTCATGATCGGCAACCTTGACCCAAGCCTGAAGGCCATGAAAGCAGCCCAGAGTGCCGCCGGAAGGTTCTTCCAGGCCATGGAGAGCAAGCCCAAGATCCAGTGCCGCCTGGAGGACCAGCGTCAGGACATCCAAACCATCGAGAAGTTCGACTTCCAAGAGGTGCACTTCACCTATCCCGCACGACCTGATGTCAAGGTCCTGAACGGCTTGTCCCTGACCATCCAGCGTGGGAAGAAGACCGCCGTGGTCGGTGAGTCGGGCTCCGGAAAGTCAACCGTTATGGCTCTGCTGGAGCGCTTCTATGACCCGGACTCCGGAGAAGTACTGGTGAATGGCCAGAGCATGAGAGATTTTAAAGTGTCTTCTCTGCGACGGTGCATTGGCTACGTGGGACAGGAGCCGGTTCTTTTTGCCAGCTCCATCCACCACAACATCATGCAGGGTAACCCTTCTGCAAGTAAGGAAGACTTCTCCAAGGTCTGTGCCGATGCCCAGCTTGGCTTTGTTGACACGCTGCCCGAGAAGTACAACACCTTTGTGGGTAGTGCCGGGAGTCAGCTTTCTGGAGGCCCTTTACATGATCCCCGAAGGGTGTTTGGTGGGTTTTTTTGGGTTCAGAGGATTCCGTGAGACAGTCAGCCCTGAGGCCAGAAGCAGCGCATCGCAATTGCCCGGGCTTTGCTGAAGAAGGCCTCTTTCCTCTTCTTGGATGAGGCCACCAGCGCTTTGGATAATGCTTCGGAGAAGATGATCCAGGCCACCATCGACAGCATCAGTGCAAGTACGGCTGATGGTTTGGGTATTGTGAGTATTGCCCACCGCCTGAGTACAGTGCGCAGTTCTGACCTCATTTATGTCCTCAGCCGCGGCCAACTGGTGGAGCAGGGGAGCCATGCAGGTCTCATGGAGAAGAAGGGCACCTACTACGCCTTGGTCGCGGCACAGGAGTCTGTCCACCAGGCGGATGCGGAAGAGACGGTGGAAATGTCCCCGGTGCCGCGCGACCAGACCCTGCACGCCCAGCGCTCCTCCACACACTCCGGGGAGTCCGAGACCCAGCGCGTGAGGCGGGAGAAGGAGGCTGAAGCCAACCGGGAGAGGGAGATCTCCAGAGCCTACAAGGCCCGAAAGGAGAGCGAATGGGACTTGAAGGTTTGAAGGGCTTCTCCTTACACAATTCAGATTCGGTCTGATGAATCTGAACCCAAAGGCTGAAGGTGATAAGAAAGCAAGATCAGGTGCCCATGAGACGGCTCTTCAGTTACAACAGGCCCGAGTGGCCCTTCTTCGTGCCCGCGATTCTCGGTGCGATGGTGGACGGCGCAGCAAATCCCGTCTGCACGATTGCCCTCGTTGGCTCGATGAAGGCTTTTTTCAACCCGGACAAGGATCGTCGATGGGCTTTTTTTTGTCTATTTCGGCCTCGATTCTGCATAGCTTATTGCTGCAGGTCTTGCTCTGAACCACTGTGCTTAGTATGATGGTGACGAGTCAGGTCTTTCTCATTGCCTGCCTTCCTTCTCCCCCTATCATGTAAATGCTGACCCTTGTTGCCCACACAGCAGCCTTCCTCACGAAAGGCACCACTTTGTGCATCAGCGTCACAGACCGGCCCACAGGCACTATGTCACACTTGTGCGATTAGTTTTCCGGGGTTTCAACCACTGCTTGTGTCTCTGTTGGTACCACGTGTCTGTAAGCCAACGAGGAGGAAATGAGGGCAGAGTTGGAAATGATGGCTTTGGCTTTCGTCATCGTTGGCGCAAGTGCATTCGTGGGCTCCACCATATCCCACGGCTGCTTCTCCATCCTCGGCGAGGCCAACGGGTAGTCTCAAAGCGAGCAGTGCAGGGAGCGATGACATTTCTGGACTTCACTGCAGCTTTTGTACCTGTGCAGCAAGTATCACTGCAACAGCGACTATCACTTCTAGTACCACAGCACTACTAGTACTAGCCACCCCCCCCTCCTACCAACCACCTGGCGCCTCAATCCACCACCATCATCGGTCATCATCATCCATCATCATCCTTCATCATGCATCATCATCATCATGATCACCATCATCAACCATCATCATAGAAGAGGGTCCGCCATCACGAAAGTACTGTAAATACCGAGTAAAACGGCTCTTGTGGAGATATTGTTCGGGGTGTCTGTGTACCAATGTCGCCAT